CCCTCCCCTAATTTTTAAAGAAAGTCAAGCATTTCCACAGGCTCCTAAATGCACCGTGAACCCTGGCTTGCACTGCTTGGCCCTGGTCGGAGGCAGCCCTGTTGGTGCTGTGTGCCCCCAGCCCTGTCAGCTGGGGGCGGCTCCTAGCATCTCCCCAGTGCATTTCCGTGTTTTATTTCCCAGGACATAGATCTGCTGTGGTTTGAGGCTTCACAACATCTACTTTTATTGTCATTTTTAGAAAAGCTTCTCAGGGAGAGAAGCCTAATCATATATTATTTGAAAATAGAAAGTGCTGTGCAAATGCTAAGTCCAGTATAATAATAGTGACACCAAGTAATTCTGTTTTGAACAAGTTGAACTTGTTAAATCAGACAGATGCCATCTGCACTATTTAAAGCCCATGCTAGCGATATGTTTTATGCAGAAACACTTATGGTAGGAAAATTGCTGAATCTCCCAGAAAGTAAAGTGTTTTGCTGTATAGCTGAGTTTATGAGCTTCCCCTGGGGAATGGGACGGATGCTGTAAATAGGGAGCAAAAGCACATAAAGCCTGTGTTGAGCAACTACTGTGTGCTGAGTGCTTGACATTCAGCCTCATCTCTAATCCTCACAAGACTCCGTTATTCATATTTTGTAGGAGTTGCAACGTGAGTTCAGAGAGATTAGTTAACTTGTCCAAGACCACACAGCTGTGCAAAGAGTCAGGATTTGAATCCAGGACCTCTGACGTCAAGGCCGTCACTCTTTCCAATAAACCTCTGAATGATAAGGAGAGTCACTGACCAAGGGCTTGAAAATCAAGGGCATCCCTTGATTTCTTCCTGTCCTATGAGAACAGCAGAATGAAAACTTGGCCTTCAGGGAGAGGAAGATGGTTGGAGAAAAGAACTTCCTGACACAAGGGGCAGCCAAGAGAACCTCCTAGGCTCTGTGATGTGTTAAAAACCATCTTCCCTCCGTGTTGCAGATGGCAATCCTATTCTTTTCCTAGGGTTGCTGTAAAAAAATCACCATGAATCTGGTGGCCTAAGCAATAGGAATGTATTTTCGCACAGTTCTGGAGGCTGGAAGTCTGAAATTAACCCATGTCAGCGGGGCCGTGTTCCTTCCACGGGCTTTAGTGGAGAATCCTTTCTCGCCACTTCTGGCGTCTGCGGTTGCTGGCAGTGTTTGGCACTCTGTGGCTGTGGACACGTCACTCCAGTGTCTGCCTCTGTCATCTCGTGGCTTTCTTATAAGGACCCTGGTTATTGGATTTAGGATCAGCCTAATGTGATATGACCCCATCTTAACTAATTATGTCTGCGAATGTGACCTTGTAAATAAGGTCATATTCTCAGGTTCCAGATGGACATGGATTTGGGGGACTGCCAATCTGTCGTAGTGGAGCCCTGAGCCTGTGACTCTTGCTGGGCAGTGCCAGGTGCCACATATGAAAGCCGTGTTCCTGTCCTCAGACTCAGGCTCCAGCTGGGGTTCAGGGCAGCCACTTACAACCACAACCCCCAGTGTGGGGGGTTCAGAGAAGGGATCTGGCTCCTGCAGGGCAGATGGAGAGGTGCCATCAGGAAGGGGCTCAAAGTCTCCAGTGGCCTGGAAGGACCCCCAGGCTTGTCCCTGAAATAGGTTATGTGTGTCCTGGGGCCTCTGGTGAGTACCCCCAACCCTGAGTGCCTCCTGTCATACTCGGAGCCCAGAGCCTTGCCTCAGCTACCCTGTAGGCCACCAACCCTAACCCAGCTTCACTGGATGCTTCCCAGTGGCCTCCACACTATGGCCACCTCCTCTGGCCATCTGGACTCTCATTCCTGTCAGAGGAGTAGCCATCCCATCCCCATACTGTGTTTCCCTGAAAATAAAACCTACCCCCCAAATAAGCCCTAGCAGGATTTCTATGCATTTGTTAAATATGAGCTCTACCCTGATAATAAGACCTAGTGATGGGCATGGGTATGCAGCGTGTCTGCATAGCTACGCCGTGCATTTCGGCATGGGGAAGAAGATATCCCCTGAAAATAAGCCCTGGTGTGTCTTCTTGAGAAAAAATAAATATAAGACAGTGTCTTATTTTCGGGAAAACACGGTGGGTTGGTGTGGACAGCAATGGCCCACTCTTTGTTGGAAGCTGATTTCACAGCTCAGGGGACATCAGTCAGCAAGTTCCTTCTCTGGTCTAGCCCAGACATTCTCGGCCAGTGAATGTTGCTGCGTGAGGGACACAACCATCTCAACCATCTTCAATATCGCGGTGGCGTGTGGCCCTCTGTAGGGCTGTCAAGCATAAACAGACATGGTGGATGTGTGGCGTTAACATTTTGTGCAGGGGGGGTTGCATATCGGGGAAAAATGTACAGAAACCGTCCTGGAGTGAGCCAGAATGAAAAAAGGTCGAGACACCTGATCCAACCCAACCCCATCTGGGGCTGGCCCCTGACACACAGCTCACGTGGCGCCTTGCACCTCTTCTCCTTCAGCCCGCACAGCTCCCGCGGCAGCTGCCGTTAATGTCGTTATGGTAAAGGATAAGAAGGCTGAGCACAGACAGGCTGAGGAACTTGCCCAGGGTCACACAGCTCACAGGTATCGCTGTAAACTGAAGCAAGGTGACATGAAGACCAAAGAGAAATACTCCTGCTTCCTTTTGCTCGAGGACTTTTTGAGCGAAAGCAGCTTTAAGTCTCTTCTCACTCTTATTTATCCATGTTATCTCACAGAGGCTGTTGTAGGTTGAATTGTTTCCCCCTCCTAACCTCCAGGGCCGGGGACAGTGCCCTTATTTGGATTATATAATCTTAACCAGATTAAGATGAGGCCATCCTAGGTTAGGACAGGGCATATTCAATGGCCGGTGTCCTTAAAAAAAGAGGAGATTTGGACTCAGACACACACAGGGAAGAAGGCCATGAGAAGGTGGAGGCAGAGACTGGGATTACACAGCTACAAACCAAGGACATCAGAGACTGTCACTGCCACCAGGAGCAGGGAGAGGCGAGGAAAGAGTCCCCCTCAGAGCCTCAGAAGGAATCGGTCTCGCTGACCCCTTGCTTTCTGACCTTCAGCCCCCAAAACTGTGAGGGGATAAATGTGTGTTGTTTTAAGCCACCCAGTGTGTGGTAATTTGTGACAGTGACCTACGGAAACTAACACAAATGCTGTGCCATTTTCCACTTTAAGAGTCCACTGTTCATTTGTTTTTGCCAAAGCTGGCACTGGGGGACTGAGCCAGAGCGCACGAGGATGGGCTGGGCTGTGTGTGTGTTACGTGCATGTGGAGGTATCTGTGTGCGTATCTGAGAGGCTCACTCCTCTCTCCTGTCATCTGCCTTTGTCCCCCCATTGCCCCACCTCCACCTCTGCCTCATCCCTCTGTGGATGGGGCCACTTGTCCCTTGCTATTTTTATAGATATTGAAGTGGGGGAGGAGGGTGGCTGGGAGGGCAGGTGGGTGCTGAGGGTCTCCACTGTGCCTTCTCTGGCAGGCAGCTCACCCAGCCCAGAGAGGATGGGAGGTGTGGTTTGCAGACCCAAGCAGAGCCCAGGTTGGAGAAATCCTTTATTTAATTCCCATTATAAGTGGCAATAAAGAGCCGGTACCTTGTATAGGGATAAATGGAGCTTAAACTGGGCCTGCACAGCCAGGGGGTGAGGTGGGATCAAAGGAAATGGGATTAATGTGTTAAAAAAGGCAAGCAGCTTCCTAGAGAGAGGCCCGCAGGGCTGTCCTGGCACAGAGAAACTCTGCCCGCAGAGTGGAATTTATCTCCATAGAAGTTTTTGCGATGAGATAAATACTGCGTATGATGTCTAATAAACTTCCCTGAGAGTTCAGTAGTAATCAACACAAGGAAATAAATTCTCCAAAAATAAAAGCAACGTCAGTGGTATTGGTGAGGTGGGGGACTGCGGTGGTGGTGGTAGTCAGCTTACTTAAGATGCTGGGAAGGATTCGTTCTCTGGAAGCCAATGATAATTTACTAGAGTTTTAATATTTGGCAAGTCCCCACAGGCTTCTGTGGGTGGAATTTATTTTGGCATGAAACAGCCCCTTGGGAGGAAATAGAGAAACAGACTTGGGGCAGCCAGCGTGCCTGGGAAAACAGCCTTTGTCACCTGGGGCGGGGGTGGGTCCCTGGACAGATACAGTTTGAGCTCTTGAATAGGATTCCTCTGGATGCAGCAGCCCCAGGCACTGCCCTTTGACACACGCATAGCACGTGTGCAGACACTCCGACTTGCATAGACTCGGGCAAGCATGAAGATATGGACATGTGGACAGATGTGCACAGGTGCAGAGTGGGCGCTCATGTAGACACACCGACATGCACAGATAACAGGCATGCATATGGACACGGACACGTGGGTACATGTGCAGACACCCCTGTACAGATAGGGGTGTGCATGCAGATATGGACACGTGTGCAGGTGCATGCAGATATGGGCACATGTGCAGACATACTGACATGTATAAATACAGGCCCGTGTGCAGGTATGGACACGTGTGCAGGTGTGGACAGGTGCAGAGGTAGGCACATGTGTGGACATGCCAACATGCATAGATACAGGCATACATGCAGATATGGACACATGTGCAGGTGTGGACAGGTGCAGAGGTGGGCACGTGTGCAGACACACTGGCATGTATAAATACAGGACACGTGTGCAGGTGTGGACACGTGCAAATGTGAGCATGTATGTAAACGTGGGCACATACAGAGTGCACTGGTGCAGACATGCACACATGCAGACATGCCCTCTACCTGCAGATATGAGCTTTCCTGTATGTGTGCAAACATGTGTACATTGAGTGGGGCAGGCAGCCAGCTCAACCTCCCTGCCCTTCTATCCACTCATGGCAGGGCCTGGTGCTTGAACACTACAGGACCTGCTGCCTTTGCCCTCTGGTTTTACTGGCAGGAACTCCCCTGTGCTGAGGCTACCTCCTGGGACTGTCCCCAGGCAGGTGCTGAGACTTACCTCTGGTCTCTCCCTGCCCAGGCTGCCTGCTGGGGCCAGCCTCATGGAGCGGATCCAGGCGATTGCACAGAATGTTTCAGACATCGCGGTGAAGGTGGACCAGATCCTGCGGCACAGCCTGCTTCTGCACAGCAAGGGTGAGTGCCAGGCGGATGGGGTGCCCCAAGCCCCAGGAATCCAGTGGACTTGGCACTGGGTGGGCCCTGGGGAGGTGGGATACCTGGGGCCCCAGCCTCTCCCAACAGCAGCTCTCCTGGCTCTCTGGGCCCCACTTTTGGCAGGGGGCCTTGTAGTTCACCCCGCCCCGACCTGGAAGGAGGTACTGAAGACAGAGAGGGTCCCCAGGCAGCCCCTGGTTTCCCATGATGTGGGGGTTGCAAGCTTCATCTTCGCTCTTTTTGGAAAAAGTTGAGGATGCATTTGGGTAGGTGTGTGAGGTTTGTTCACGCCAGCTCCTCACTGGTTCTGAGCCCCTTAAGGAGGCTGGGGACATGGAGGGGGGCAGCCCAGGCCTGGGAACACCCTTGCAGGTGAGTGGTGCAGCTAACAGGCTTTCAGGTGAGAAAACTCAGAGAGAAGGTCATGTGGGCTACTGCCCACCTCCACCCAGGCCAGTCCAGTCCTCATGCCTCTCTCCTGAGTTCTTCCTGGACCGGGTCAGCGAGTTCACCTCTCCCTGCAGTGTCAGAAAGCCGGCGGGACCAGTGTGAGGCACCCAGTGACCCCAAGTTCCCTGACTGCTCGGGGAAGGTGGAGGTGAGGCCTGGGTTAGAGGGTTGGGCTGGGGTGGCTGGGATACCCGCTGTAGAGAGCCTCTCTGCCCAGCCCTGGACCCTGACCCAGGTACTAGGTGGCAGAGGCCAGCCTCAGGAAAATAGCTTCTCTGCTCAGCCCATCAACCCAGACTCCCAAAGGCGAGCCATCTCTCAGGGCCAGAAGTGCCTTTTTATAGCAGATGAACCATTAAGTATCCACATGCCATCACCAGCACTGATTCACAGCAGACTCAGGAGAGGCATGGACTCTGGCCCCTCTGTCCTCAATCCTCCTGGCCCAGTCAGTAGCTGGACAGAGCCCTCCTGGCCCACCATAGGGACCCTCTGGCTGCGTAAAGATCCCTGTGGGAGTCAGCTCCTCACTGGCCCTAGACACCCCATGGGGTGGGGGATGGCGTAGCAGACCCTTCCTGGGTGGCCACTTGGGGTCCTGCCCTGGCCCCGGTCTTTGCCCCACTGGAGGCTGTCCTGACCTTGACCTCTAACTGAATCCTGCTCAGGGTGGGAGAAATTGGGAACAAAGGAAGAGGGAGATAAGCCCTATGGCTATGCCTTCAGCTCTTTGCCCCAGAGCCCTGGCCTGGCCCTGCCTGCTGGGGGGCCTCTTAGATGGTAGTTTTGCCCCTGTGTTCTCTGGGGCTCTTGGGAACCAGGGCAGAGGCCATGTCCTGGCTCTCCATTCGGCTCTGGCCCTTGCTGCTGCATCTTTAGGGCGCACTGCAAGGGTGCCATCCTAGGGGACTTCTATGCAGAGGGGGCCTGCTGTGGCGTGGGTGGGGCTGTTGCTGGCTCTCCTGCCCAGGCCTGGCCTCTCTGCAGTGGATGCGTGCCCGCTGGACCTCTGACCCCTGCTACGCCTTCTTTGGGGTGGACGGCACCGAGTGCTCCTTCCTCATCTACCTCAGCGAGGTCGAGTGGTTCTGCCCTCCGCTGCCCTGGAGGAACCGGACGGCTGCCCAGGCAGCCCCCAACCCCCTCCCCAAAGTCCAGGTAGGCCTGGAGTGGGGGGGCTAGGCTGGGACTGGAGGGCAGGCTGGCTAGCCTCTCCAGGCTGGACATCCTCAAGGACAGCGGAAGAAGCCTCTGTCCTGGGTGTCATGAAACTGGCCAGGTGGCTGGGCAGGTCCCAGCCTGTCCCGCCTGACAGAAGGAGGCCAGCCTGGTAGTGCTCATCCTGCCTTCTGCAGATACTGCCAAGCTAGGCCTCCTCGAGGGGGCATTGGAGGTCCTGGAGGCATCCCCTAACCGGCTAGAATAATAGTAACACTAGTGTCAGTGTGGAGGGCTTTCTGTGTATCTCTTTATTTGTACTTCAATCTCCCAGCCATCCAAGCGCACTGTTCAACAGAGGAGTTGTCTGAGGTTAGAGGGTGAATTAACGGGGTTGAGGCTCTGACCACTGCCTTCACTGCCTCCTTGTAGTGGCTGGGTGGCCTGGGGACTGCCACCGCTGGCTACCTCCCTGGAAGAGCTCAGGGCAGGGGGTTAGTAGGAGCTGGGTTTGAGGGTGGGTGTTGCGGGGTGAGAGTAGGGCTCCTTGACTTGGGAGCTGGTGGGCCCCTTAGGAAGTACAGGAGTTGGTGAAGCAGGCCCTGGCCTCACGCGGGCTGGTGGGGATGGTGGTGGCACAGCTGCAGGTCTCAGGGCTGGGAGAGCTGAGGTCTAGACTCCTCCAGGCAGTTTTCCGGACCAACCTGTCCCACCTTCTGGAGCTGATGGGCAGTGGGAAGGAGTCCCTAATCTTCATGAAGAAGCGGACCAAGCGGCTCACAGCCCAGTGGGCGCTGGCCGCCCAGCGCCTGGCGCAGAAGCTGGGGGACACCCGGAGGGACCAGAAGCAGGTACGTGGTCCGCTCTGCACACTCAGGGAGCTGAGTGTAGTGACTCAAGAGCTTGGGCAGTGTGCTTGGGGGACGGGGTGGGATGGCAGAGTGGGAAAAGATGCCTGTGGTGGCCCCTGGCTCTTTTCAAGTTTGGGCAGAAGGACAAGCGCCCCGAGGGGTCTTGCCTTCTGTGGATGTCTGGTGCTTGTCAGGCTGCAAAGTCGTACATTTGCCTGGCAGGTGGGGAATGATGTGGCCTGTTTGGGGAGATCTGTTGGCTCGTCCCTCCCTCCCTCCATCCATTCAATAGATACAGTATTTGCATGACCCTCACATCACCCTCTTTTTTCTTTCAGAGTCCTTATCATTTCATGACATTGTGTCTTGTCTGTGTTTACTGTCGTCACCTCTCCCGTCTGGAACATGGCCCTGGGAGGGCAGGCACCTGACTGTCTTTTTCATTTGTATCCTCATTGCTCCTCATGGTCACTCTGCTGCCAGAAAGCGCCTGTGCAGGCCCAGCCTGGAGACAGTGTCTGCTGCTGACTTGTGTCCCTGGCCAGTGCCCAGGGCAGGTCTGAGTGGCTGCCCCTCCGTACTGACCCTCTGTGTCTCACTGACCCAGATCCTGGTCCACATCGGCTTCCTGACAGAAGAGTCTGGGGACGTGTTCAGCCCGCGGGTTCTGAAGGGCGGGCCCCTGGGGGAGATGGTGCAGTGGGCGGACATCCTGGCCACGCTGTACATCCTGGGCCACGGTCTGCGGGTCACCGTCTCCCTGAAGGAGCTGCAGAGGTGAGTGCTGGGGAAAGCCGCTCACCACGAGCTGGGGGCAGGGAAGGGATGAAGGGGAACCCGTCCCCTCGAGCCCCTGCTCCACCTGCAGTTTCACAGCCTCAGACCCTGGGAGGCTGCTGGGGCTCCGCGGGGTGTTGCTGTTCCTCATTCCCTCCTCTGCCACCCTGTCCTCCTCCCACAGCCTCCACACTGACACCTGTTAGTGCCTGGGATGCCCTAGGGAGGTGTGTTTGCATAATACTGTTCAAACAGGGTCCCCTCTGTTTCTGCTCAGAGGCTGACCCATTCTGGCTTGTGGAATCGAGTCACATGGGGTCCCTCTATGCCCCCGCTGTCCTGGGGTCCCTCTGTGCCCTGCTGCCCTGGGGTCCCTCTGTGCCCTGCCGTCCTGGGGTCCCTCTGTGCCCTGCTGTCCTGGGGTCCCTTTGTGTCCGGCTGTCCTGGGGTCCCTCTATGCCCTGCTGTCATGGGTCCCTCTATGCCCTGCTGTCGTGGGGTCCCTCTGTGCCCTGCTGTCCTGGGGTCCCTCTGTGTCCTGCTGTTCTGGAGTCCCTCTGTGCCCCTGACATTGAGGGGTTCCTCTGTGCCCCTGCCATCCTGGGGTCCCTCTGTGCCCTTGCTGTCCTGGGGTCCCTCTGTGCTCCTGCTTTCCTGGAGTCCCTCTGTGCCCTGCTGTCCTGGGGTCCCTCTGTGCCCCTGCTGTCCTGGGGTCCCTCTGTGTCCTGCTGTCCTGGGGTCCCTCTATGCCCTGCTGTCCTGGGGATCCCTCTATGCCCTGCTGTCCTGGAGTCCCTCTGTGTCCTGCTGTCCTGGGGTCCCTCTATGCCCTGCTGTCCTGGGGACTTGGCCTCTTTCCTGGAAGCATCCTCCTTCCTGGGTCTCTTCTGGGGACTTAGGACCTGGAGAGTGGTGAATGGGCAGACCACTCCAACGCTAGGCTTTTGGGGACCCTCTGGTGTTGCTAGAGGTGGAAGAGTGGTGATTAGAGGCTCCCTGGGTGCTCAGGGGGAGGGTGGGGCTGAGGCCCAGCGTGTGGGGATGCTGAGGGCGTAGGAGTGTGTGGGGGTGTATGTGAGCTTTGGTTTATTTTTAACTCTGTATCTGTGGGATAGAGAAACACGTAAGACTTTTCTTCCTTTATCTATTAATATTTATTATGTAATATTTGGTACATTCAAAACTACATGCAAACTATGCTAAGAAGCACAAGAATCAAATGATCTCTGCACGTTCAACATCCCACTTACGATCCCCAGTGACAGACCCCTGGATCTGCCTGGGCCGTGCCTCCCCAACCCATCCCTCTGCCTCCTCCCCAGAGAAGCCTGTCACTGAAATTTTGTGTATATAATTCCTTTGCTTTAAAAAAAAATTGGCCATGTATCCATAAAAATTACATGGGTTGGCTTAGTTTGGTTTTTTTAAATTTCAGGTTAATGTTAGGGAACAAAAAATTAGGTTCCAGCGTTTGCACGTGTTAGGTAGAATCCCTCTTGTAGCTGTGTCCTGCACCCAGGAGGTGTGCTGTCTCCTAGTTTTTGTTTTGATCTTTGGAAGATTGGCACGTGCTGTCTGTCTTTCCAGACTTACTTTTTTCTTTTTTTCTTTTTCTTTTTTTTTTTTT